CACAAAAATCTTAATTTACTCCTTGACACCATGCATTTTTCTAAAGAAGGAATAGGTTTTGATAAAAATGAATCTAAGGATAAAAACGTTGAGCAAACACCTAGACAACCTCCTATGGCTCAACATAAGAAAAGTAAAAATCAGGATAATAGAAAATCTAGTCAACCTAAGGACACTAGACAACCTAGACAAAAGCCTAGGAATGAAAATGTGCATGTTAGACAACCCAAGAAAAACTATCAAAATGATTTTGTGCATAAAATTAATTTTTCAAATAGACAAAATAATGCTAGAACACCTAGAAGAGAGAGTTTTCAAAAACCAATATTTTCCCAAAATAGGATGAAAATGGTTAGGCCCCCTAGCTATTATCAACCTAGGCACGTGTTCAACCCAAACGTAGTATGCCACTATTGCAGTAGGGTAGGACATATAGCTCCCGTGTGTTTCACTAGACATAGGCACTTCACCTACAATGAAACACACAACGTATTTGGTGCTAATGAAAAGAAATCCTTTGGAAAAGGATATTCAAATCATAAACAATCTCCACAGGACAATGCACAAAAGAAACCTATTATTTCTTCTACTTTGACGAAAAGAAGAATGTCCACATTCCGTTACCGGAACCGACACAAATCACACCGAGATATCGGCACTCCGTTCAGGTAGATTGGAACCCGCCAACCACGAGACGATGGGTTGGCCAAGGTAACTCCTAAACAATCATTTAATCGTGTATGTGTGTGTGCGCGCATATGGAAACATATTTTGGGTGTGTGTGTGGGCAATAAAGGTAAACTAACCCCCAAGGTCCCATAGACTTACTTTGGGTACCAAAGTGTTGTTCTTTTTTGCAGGGACGGTCCAAAGTGAAGAAATCCGGAAGTCAGGGGGAACCAGCGATGGGTGGGTTATACCATCGCTGGGAGGGAAGCTTCTTGCTTTCAAAACTCCTCTTCCCATCGATGGGAACTTCCTCCCATCGATGGGTTATTGACTCTATTAAAAAAAAATGGTTAACAGATTTCCAGAACACCTTTACCCATCGATGGGTAGTTTATCCCATCGCTGGGTGAGTACTTGCTTTTGTTTCAGAACCTCCCAACCCATCGATGGGAAGTTCCTCCCATCGCTGGGTGTTTGACACTATTTTTTTAAAATTTTTTTAACGGATTTTCAAAACTACCAACCCAGCGATGGGATGGTATTAACATTGCTGGGGAGGCCATGTTCTTTTCTTCGTCAATTTCTAGAAGCCACCTTCCCATCGATGGGAAAATCCAAACATCGCTTGGACGGCAGCCTTGGGTTCTTCCTCGCTTTCCAGTGGCGGCCTTCCCATCGATGGGTAGATCCTACCATCGCTGGGAAGGAATCTGCATTTCAAAAATTCAGAGCCGTTGGGCACCACATTAATTGGCCAACAACTATATTTTTGAATCCAAACGGCCTAATCTCCCATTCCCTATATATCCCTCATATTTGCTCATTCTAATACACCATTAACATCATAATTTCATTCCTTGATCCAAATCTCAATATTTCATCTCCTTTTTTCTTCAAAAACGCCACAACTATGGCCGGAGGAAGATCAAAGTCAAAGGCATCGAAGAAGAAAGGCCCTACTGAGGCCACAACCTCTGCACCTCAACCCTTTCCGTACCTGGATGGATCCTTCCTCGAATTTGGCTCGGAGGAAGAACTCACGCGCTTCCTCAATCACTTTGCCAAACGCCCGATTTCTCCGCCCAGAGTGCTGCCCGAGCTATACCCTCAACGAAAGGGGTACCACGACCTCGAGAATCAGCTTCAAGCGTCAGGTCTGTGGTCGTTGGTCTCCAGGAGCCGTCAGTCCTACAATCCCACCTTTGTCCGGGCCTTCTACTCCAATCTCCGCCGTGACGGGGACACCATCCACAGCAGCATCAATCTCTACGACGTAGAGATTGATTTGCCTACCTTTGCACGGATCGCAGGGCTGCCCATCCGCGGTGACGACATCGTGACGTACGGTGGCGACGATTGGATCCTCAACAACGAGGCGGTCGTCATTTGTGAGCTTGGGATCACCAACTTGATCCGGACAAGCGCCTCCTCCTCTACATCATCACCCGGATTCTTTGCCCCCGGGACAGCAGCCATACCTCGCTCTTCAACGAGGATTTGAAGGCGATTCATGAAATCATCCATGGCGCCTCCATCAATTGGGCAAAATTTGTCATGATACACATGGCGGATTGCGCCTCACTCGCCACCGAGCGGAGCTTGCCGTACGCATTCCTCATCATGGACATCATCATCTCCGCCGATATCCACATCGCCGGGCCAGACACGAAGATGACGAAGCTTTGGATGATCGCCGACAGCACCTTCCGGAAGAAGTCCGGAGATAGGGACGGCGCAGGCCCAAGTCGTGCACCAGCCCCCGCTCCCGCCAAGGCCTCTTTGCAATCCATAGCCGATACTCTGAATCGGCTATCCCTCACAGTGGATGGCATGGGGCAGTCAATTGAGCGGATGGACTGGACGCTGCAACGCCAACACCAAGACATGACGGCGTTCTTCCGCGGCATCAACTACCTCCCGCCGCCCTTTAACAGCCCCTTCCTCGGCCAAAACTATGAAGGCGAGGACGAGGAGGATAACTCCTATGCTCCATCCTCCTCCCCCGACGAGGCTGACTTTGAGGAAGCGATCAACGGGGATCCCATGCACGTTGAGGACGACGAAGAAGACGATGACGCCGAAAACGAGGACGCCGATGCTTAGACTCTTCCTTCTCTCCTTTCCCTACTTTAATTGCATTTCTTTTATCTATTTCAATTCCGTTGTATTCCGCATTTTCTCCTTTTTTAATGAATAAAAGTTTACTTTTAAACTCTAAAGTTCACTTTTAATTCTTTTTGTTAATGTCAAAAGGGGGAAGATATTAAGGTTATGCATAAATTGAGGGGGAATTTTTTTTACCTTGTAAAATGGCATCTATTAAGGGGGAACATTTTTTCTCAAAATAATCCTCCCACGCATAACCTCGTCTCGTTTTCTATTATCAAAAGGGGGAAATTGTTGAAACACGGGCTTGTCACGTTTTCGTACTAAAGCCGTGTTCGTTTTTGTAACAGGTTTTGATAATGCCAAACCGCCATGATCAAGTCGAACATTGAATATACAAGGCGAAGAACGAAGATAAGAGCAAGAGCTAAACGAAGACCAAGAACGAAGACCTTAGTCATAGTATTGAGTCGGTCTTTATTGTGATCAAGACCGACCCAATCTTTACACCTTGGCTCTATAGGCTAAAATCTCTCATTGCATTTCTTACATCATAAAAATGCTTTTCAAACTTTTTTAAGTCATTAAAAACACTTGGTGTTTGCCCAAACCAAAAACCAAGCCATCCAGTGTTCGGCTTTCAGAAACCAGCGTTCGGCTTTCGGTTTTTGGGTTTGGTTTATGGCATCCGAACCAACCAAGTGGTTTTCAGCATTTTATGATATGCTTTCACTCTTTGGCATGTTTAAACGGTTCTCCAACAAAAACACTTTGAAAACCATCTCTCGCTTTTAGTCATTTGACAAAAACCACGCAAAACGGCGTAAACTTGGCTAGCCGTGGATTTTACTCAAATGACGTGATTTTTAAAGTGTATCACTTGATTTCTTAGCCAAATACATCAAATAAGTGTTTTAAACACTTGGTTTTTATTTTGGAGAACTTTGGATTTTTCGGTCGGTTTTTGCATCGGTTGGCTAGGCCGTGGTTAAGGCAAAAACCATAGGTTTTTGGCTAACCACCTACCCAGCGATGGGTAAGTGACCCCTTAGCCAAACCAACTTCCAGAACCATGCCAAACAGCGATGGGAGGTTCTACCCATCGCTGTTAAAGCCTTGGTCCAACATTATCACAAGGCACAATGCCCTTACCCAGCGATGGGAAGCTTTACCCATCGATGGGAACCCATCGATGGGAAGGCTAAACCATTGATGGGAAGGCATGACCGTTGGAAGTCACTTAAAGTTGATTCTTTCCTTGTTTGGAAGTCAACCTCCCACCCAGCGATGGAAGCTTGTACCCATCGATGGGTAGGTAACCGTTGGCTTCAAAACTGAAGGAAAATTGGCTTACCAGCGATGGGTAAGTTCCAAACATCGATGGGAAGCCAATATCCTACAAATCCCAAATTTATTCAATCCCTTAAATCAAGCCAACCCCCCCTTTAATGCATTGGTCCGTTGGAGCCTATTTTGGCACTATAAAAAGGGGTGTTTGGGTCTGCTTTTCTCATCAATTCACTTCACAATATTCATATCATCATTGCATTAAAACAACATCATTTTTCATAGCTTTCTAGAGCCAATTTGTGAAGTTTGAGTTGTTCTTGAGCGTATATAGTTTACTCAACATCTACTCTAAAAGAGAGCCTTGTTCTTGAGTGTCTTAGTGTTGTATACACATTAAGGGAAGCATGTTTCCCTTGGTTGTACGAAGGAAAGGTATTTTCCTTCGGGTTGAAGTCTTGGAGTGC